TCTGCCTGCTCTGCTCCCTGCTCTGTCTCTGGTGAATCCTCTCACCCTCCACATCTCTGGCTTGTACCCCAGTTCTGTATGAATAAATAAAATCTTAAAAAAAAAAGTTACAATTCAGGCTTTTGTTATTTATATCCAGAAGACAGAGGAAACATAGATAGTATATTCATGTTTTAGTATCCTTCTTCATAATTCCTTGACCTGCTCAAGTTTGGCAGCACATTTACCAAAATTGGACTGTGACTGAGAAGATTAACATACTCCACACAGGAAGACAGATTCCTATGGCTTCCCACTTCGCAGCCTTTGGCAATCTGGCTTCTGCCCCCAAGCTCCACTGAAATGATTCTTGTTAATGTCACTAATAGCCTCTCTACTGCTGGAGTTAATGGGCCCTTTTATGTCATTATCTCTCTTGACTTCTGTGTGATTTTTGACACTCTCCTGGCCACTTGGCTACTTTTTCTTAAAAGAAAACTTTTCCTCAGCTTCTATGACATCATTTTCTTTTGGTCCTCTTTCTGCCTCTCTGAGCTTCTTTTATCAAGACATTTTTCTCTGTATGCCTCAAATCTTGGTGTTGCCCAGGACTCCCATCCCTTCTTAGACCTCTGCTTTTTGTACTCTATCTTCTTTACAATGATTTTATGCACTTCCTTGGTTTCCATTATTTGTGATATCTTTAGCTTAGAATTTCTACTAAGTTTTTGTTCTGCTGTTCAATATGAAGCCACTAGCCACATACACAATTTAAAGTTAAATGAAGTTAAAATAAATTTGGTTCCTCAATTATACTAGCAACATTTCAAATGTCAATAGCTCCATGCTTCCTGTGGCTATCTGACTGAAGAGTGCACATGGAGAAAACATTCATCAGCACAGAGTTTGCATTGGTGAGCACTGGGCCCACAATGTCACCTCTATAACCTCTTGCTGTGTCTAAATCTGAGCTTAGCTTTTCTCCATTGAGATCTGTTTCTCTATTCTGGGACAGTCTTGGTCACTTCTGGGGTTTGAAGCTTATCTCTGCACTCTCCCTCACTCAGCTTTTCCTGAGAATTCTGATCGTTTTACAACTTCATTTGAATTCTTACATTAATTCCTTATAGATTTCTGGGTGTTGTTAGAACTGTTAGTACTCTGAAAGGGGACTCTTTCATGTTCTCTCTCCCGCCTATCTTTCTATTTTTATCTCTCATTCCTTTGCATCCTGTAGTTTATTCTTTAGTCATGAGCTGTTTGTTCTTCCCTGCCTATTCCATGTTCTTTCATCACTGTGACTTTGTTCAGACTGATGGTCCTGCTTGGCAGAATTACACAGAAACTTATAAACAAGGGTTCCAGGAAATTATACTCCAGCTTTCATTTATTTTCATTTTATCCCCTGAGATATTACATCTGTACATGAGCCTGCTTATTAATTGGAATATATACTACTGTATTTTCTCAGCATTGATTTCTGCCATTAACCCCTTATTCCTTCCTTTATTTTGTTTACTTCGCCCCTAGTTTCCCACTTCTAGTCTTTAAAATCTTATCCTTTGTTGCATGTTAGCTTCTCCGTGAAGCTATGCTTTATTTTCTCAGTTTAGGAATAACTTCCTTATACCTATTTTAGATGATATGTCTTGCTTGCTTATTTTAGAATTATTGCTGTCCTTTTTTTCACTCTCTTCTTAGAGCTTAATATACTTACATTTTAAGGGATTGTCTTGCTCTTGAAGGCTCTCACGAATTCTAAGTAATGATTTCCCTATAGCAGATTCTTAGTAAATGTTGAATTATATTGAAATTAATCCAACATATTTTTTTAAGCTGTCAAAACAGAGTTAATTGTAATATAGTCATACTCAATGATTTTCAGGAAATGAATTTTTCTTTCATTCCTAGATGCTTCTTGAAATCTGTTCTATATCTACCCCACTGCCTGCTATAACATTTTCATATACTTTTATTGTAGGACATATTGAAATGTGCTGAGAGTTATTGCCTGTATTAATGTGTCGCTTTCTTCAGAAAGGTGACAGAGTCTTCACGAGCAGCACTATCACTGGGGGCTATGCAGATTATGCTCTTGCAGCAGACCACACTGTTTACACACTGCCGGAAAAGCTGGACTTTAAACAAGGGGCGGCCATTGGGATCCCCTATTTTACTGCTTATCGAGCTCTGTTTCACAGGTAACAACACATTCAGGGAATTTTAACAGTCACCAAAAAGGGCAATATTAATTGCTTTCCTTCTTGTATCTGTCTGTCCTCTTGTCTATCATTTTTCATTACTATTTAGTTACTATCAAAGATTTGTACATGAAAACTGCTAATTTGGAAGATTTTTTTCCAGCCAGTACCTATACAAAGAGAGCAAAGTGCTGTCTGTGTCTTCAGAATGCTCACCACCTACTAGGATAGAGACATAAGGATGCTTTTTATATATAATATGGAAAATGATGGAGATGCACATGGGGATTTATGGGCTCACAAGGGCCATGTCTATGGTAATGAGGTGGGACAATGTATAAGACTTATATTATTCAAAAGCTATCATTCAAAAATATTGTTATCTCTACTCATGGAAACTTTAACTGCCTTGATTTAAAAGTACAGGACAGGTCCCTTCCCCAGACTCATTGGTCAGGGTTCATGCTGGGACTTGAGAGTTTGTATTATAATCAGATCTCTGAGGCTTTTGACAAGGATCCAAGGAAATTAGCTGGGGGCAGTGGTTGCTGGGAGAAAAAATGGCATTCTAACCAGTAGGAATAGCCTGGATTATGAGGAAAAACATCCTCCTGTCTGGGGAGAGCCATAACAATTAGATTTTGCTAGAGAGATTTTAAGGGGAAGGTGGCAGAGAAAAAGGTTAGAACATGGTAATCTCTATAAATGCCAGCTGTCGTTATTAATAGATCAGTTTCTAGATTATAAAAAGCTAGATTATAGAGCTCACACATTATTCTGTAAGGGATTAGGGACCATAAAATGTTTTATTCAAGAGTGTGATATTTTATATTCAGATCCCTTACCTGCTATGTGAAGGATTTATTTGATGACTGGAGTGGAAAAAGAGATGGGGAAGGTATTAAGGGAGAATCCTCTAGAAAAGAAGCTTATGGCCCCATAGCAAGGGTTATTATGGAAGAAGGGGTAGAAAAGAAAAGGTAAATCTGTTTAGAGAATAAAACCAGGAATACTTAGTGACTCTTTGCATGTGGAAAAAGAGGGAGAGAGTTTAAGAACTAACTTTTTAACTTAGGTAATATTTATCTTTGACAAAGATAGGGAAGAAAAGGTTTCAAAGGGAAACTGAGTTTAGGTTTTGATTTGAAGATGAAACATCATCCAATAGTCTGCTGGATGAAAGAGTCTGAAACTTGAACAATGGAGATATAAATTTGGGACTCTGAGAGCATGGAGGAGAAGTTGACAAGATCAAAGTGGTTGAAATTCCTCAGGGAGTGAAACCAGTACTGGGGTGAGCATAGAACCCTGATCAGCATCATCATTTAGAATATAGTAAACCGTGGGGACGAAGTCCTAAGTATACCAGAAAGAGTGCATCCCAGGTCCAAGAGGTGCTATAGTCAGGGTTGTGTATATGTCTGTTAAGCTCATGGACTTTGGAGACAGGAAGATCTGAGATGAGTCCAGTCTTCACCTAGTGCTGGTTGTGTGACTTTGGGCAAGTTACTCCTTTGTCTCAGCTGAAGTTTGCTGATTTGAAAACCAGATAGCATTTACTTTACAGGGATGTGGTGAGAATTAAGTGCTAATGTATGCAAAACTCTTAGTAGAGTCTGGCACAGAATCAGTGCTTAATGAATGGTGATAGTGATATATAAGTATATGAGAAAGAGAAAAAATTGTAAGAAAAATCTGACCACCAGACTACAGACCTGGAGGAGTTGCAGTTCTAGTTCAAAGGCAGTCTGCAGACATGAATCCCTTCTTGCTCCAGGAATTGTCAATCTTTATTCTGCTTTCAGCTGACTGGATGAAACCTGCCCCTATTTTGGAAGGTGGTCTACTGTACTTAACAGCCTATGGATTTAAATTAAATGTCAACCTTATCCAAAAAACACCTTCATAGTGTTTTAGATAGACATCCAGAATTATGTTTGACTAAATATCTGGCACCATGACCCAATCAGTTTGATACATAGCAGTAACCACTACAAAGACTCTACGTAGAATAATGACAGTAGGGGCTTTGGCGGGGAGATTTTGCTTGCTTTTCCTTCACTCACTCCAGTCCTAGAGGTTTAGGAGAACATGCTTAATACTTGAGTGGCTGTTTATGTTTAAAAGAAAATTTATTGGGAAATATTTCATATCCTTATTATAACTAATTCTATCTCATTCATTTTTTTTTAATTTGTAATTCACTTTTTAGACTAGTCGAACATTTCAGTATTAGCTATCTCAGTTTATTATTCAAATTGTCAGTTTAACTCATTGCCCTCACTCTCCAAGCACAAATGTTGGAGTTAGCTTCAGTTATTGCTCATAATTGCCATTTGTCAGCTATTGGCACACAGCCGTAGTGGGACTCTGGGTAACTATGTTCTCACTCCTGAACTGAACATAATGTCTGCATGGTGTGGCCACCCCCTATTGTTTCTAGTAAGTAAGAGATCCTCCCTGAGAGTCAGAGCTGGATCACACAACAGCTGCTGGCTTGTGACATTAACACTTGTCCATCTGGGATGATAAAGCATCCCCTGTCTGCCTTGCTGCATGTTCCTTGTTTTCAGTATAATAGAAAAGTAGTATGAACCAGAAGTAAAAAGAATATGTCATTTCACCAGAGGATTTGGACATTTTAAGGGGTGATATGGGAACCTTTGTAACAGGATTTATTTTATTTCTTACATTCTTGCCATTGCTGACTTGGCATTGCTCTCTGAAATGAGGGCTTAGAGGCTTGTGTGACCTCAAGTTCAAAGGCAAGAAGAAATAAAAATGACTCTCACCCCTGTGAATAGTCTCCCTACTGTGTTTACTTGGGTATTGTACTGGACTCCAGAAGACGACTGGACTCCAATAAACCTGTTTTGAGGCACTTTCTGTGGGACATGTAGGAATGAATGAGAAGCTGCAGCTCCTCTAGGTTCTGCAGTTTCACTAGCCATACCTTCAAGGACTGTGTCCTCTCAGAAGGTAGCAGCATGATGTGAACCCAGCATCCCTCACAGTGTTCGTGCATAAAGGACTCCCAGTAAACGTCTGTCAAATGAATGAATGAATTGAAGGTCTTTTTTATCTGTAACTTTGAAGACTTGCTATTTGATACTGTGGAGCTTGGAGATTATATTGGGCTGTGTATTTGCTCTCTGGGTAGATGTTAGCTGAGTTGAGGGTAGAATTTCCTTAAGAATCATGGCAAATATCTGAGCTTAATTAACTTCAAAGTAAGGTAATAGACCTGTGCTTTCTTTTGCAGTGCCCATGTGAAAGCTGGAGAAAGTGTTCTGGTTCATGGAGCTAGTGGAGGAGTAAGTGTTTTTAAGTTTATTTTGAGATGAGTATGTTTTTGCAAGTTTTTCATTGTATGTCCAGGTCACTTTAAAATGTATATTTATGGCCCTCCCTGGTGGCGCAGTGGGTTAAAGCACAGCACTGAGAAGCTAAAGCCTCCTCCACATGAGTTCAATTCCGGCCTGCCCCAGAGGTGACCACATGGAGTGGCAGACCTCTCCTGACCCGCCCACTGCTCTCCTCAGCAGTGTACTTCGTCGATCTGCCTGTTCTGCTCCCAACTCTGTCTCTGGTGAATCCTCTTACCACCCCTTTGCCTCTGGCCTGTACCCCAGTTCTGTATGCATAAGTAAATAAATCTTTTTTAAAAAATCTATATTTATAAATGTAGTAAAGAGGGCTTTTTCCCAGAATGTAGCAAAGCTTCTTTGGTGATTCCTTGTTATTAGTTTAGCATCTCTTGGTTCATAAGTCCAGCAGATCATTCCATAAGAAATGTGTGTGTTAGATTGTCCCCCTGTGTCAGTTGTGGACCAAGATAAACTAACTTTATTTTTTCGTCAAGTAGCATATATAAGATTACTTACTAGAATTTTAAGCAATTCTTTAAGGTTAATATTAATTCCATATTCCCTTAGATAAGGAAACTAGGGCTCATTAAAGTTCTACCTGTGTTGCCCCAGACAGCACTGCAAAGCCATACTGTGAATTCTTAGTTCTTTCTATCTCCTTTCCTCTGCTTGCCCACTGTGCTTTGATGACATTCATGGAGTGCACAGTGTACAACTGTGTCCTTAACACCGCAACCCACAGCTTAAATGCTAATGGGACGGGGGGTGGGGAGGGAGAAGAGAGACAAAGGGAGGGAGAACTGAGAATTTATGAATTAAGCCTGTCAGTGAAATCGCCCAACACAAGGCTGATTGTCAAAAACCTCTTCAAGGAACGGCTGTCAATCTGTCTCTGAGGAGCTTAGAGGGAAAAGTTTGAGCTCTAAGGTTGAAATTGAACAAGAAATCCATATGACCTCTATCCTGCTTGTAGAGGCTTTAGGAATTTTAGACACAAGATTTGTGCATTTTTAAAATAAAAAGCCTGAGGCTACATGCTTCACCTTGGAGAAGCCTGTTAACCCTTTCAGTGCACCATGTGCTCTGCGAGTGGCTTGAAAGAAGTATCCTGTTGGATAGACATTGTCCCCAGAACAATGAGTGACATCCGTAAAATATGAATTTACCTCGAAAGGTAATACAGAAAATTCAATGTGTTGTCTTCTGTTATTTTAGATAGATGAATCACAACATTTGAACCTCAGACAAATCAAGTCTGAAGGATTTCACAAATCAGACTATTTACTAAAAAACACCAAGATTGTCTTTACAGAGTTGAGAAAATATGACAGATACACCTTGTCAGATAGTCCCATTGTTTTGTTTTACCAAAGATGCAGTTTTTAGGTTAAATTAAATGTAATCCTCAATAACCAAAGAAACTGCAAACATATATATTTATTTAAATAGCTTTAGTTTTCAGAAAGCTAAAGGTTTGCTCTGTATGGAAGGGAGAGATTTCAGTAGGAAGAAGAGAGAAGACTTTAAAGAAAATCTCTTTTTATTCCCTTTACTCTCTTGTAAAAAGCCTGGATGCTTCACCACTATTTTCTTTTTAAGGCAAAATCCACACTGTTCTCCTAGCTGGCTGAGTTTGTTAAATCCACGGCTGACAGGGATAGGCTGGTGACCTAGTGCGAAGCGCTTCTGATCCTCCCTGCCCGATCAGAGGGCAACAGTACTGGGTTCTGATTTGCTTCTGTTCACCCTTTCTGTCCTCATTTAATTCAGATTCCTTTATTTAAAGTGGTCTGAAATTTATGGACATAGCTATTATCCAAATGTGTTGGTGGGGAGTGCCCTATTTAAGTGTCAGCAAAAGTAGATAAAAGAACGGACACATCATGGCATATAATCTATTGAAAGAGTATTGCTACAAATAATTGCTGAGAAGAATAGAATAAACAGTGCCTTTAAAATAGCTATGAGGGCCCCTTTAAAGTAGTGAGATCATAAGGAGATGTATTTATGTTAAATTTTTCACTTAGAATGTGGCTTTAGTATAGCCAGTTTCCTTTTTTTAAGTAAAAATTCAAATAGCCAGAATCAGTTGTATTTTATAGTGTATTGTATTTCATGGAATAGAATGTTTCTCCCACTCTTTGGACAGTGAGGGTTGTGTGTGTATTTTAATTTGTTTTGCCTTAACTCAGCTTTATTCAGGTTCATCACTCACATATACCATACCATCTTTAAGGTCTGTTTTAGACCTGGGAGGGGAGGGTCTCTGTGGTTCTGTTGCAGTTTTAATTAGTTGTCACTACTTTTCACTGTAATCTGTTTTATTATATCTAATCCATATGAGTTTACCTTCCTTTATAATCAACAAGGGATGCCTGTGTGTTATCCTTCTTTCCCTCATATCATTTCTGCTTAAACTGTCTAGTAGTTCTCCATCATTCTTAACTGTAATCCAAAGCTGTATCTCCAAACACTGTGTGACTAAGCCTCTCTCTTGTCTTGTCTTGACTAAGCCTTGTCTTCTATCCTCTCTCACATACTCTGCCCTCAAGCCACATTCAACCTCTTTCAGTCCTTTGAACACCCCAAATTCATTCCCACTTTACCAGGTTGGCCATGGCCATTTTGCCTACCACACTCTCCTGGAAGCTTCCCAGATCTTCACGTGGCTTGTCTTTCTCTTTTTTGGGGTTGCATGTCCTCAGTGACATTTCCTGATGATCTAACTTTAGTCCCTGCTCCTAAATCTTTCTACTGAAGTGGGCTGTTTGATTTTTTCAAGGCACATTTCAGTTTATGAATTTGCTTTATTAATTTATTGCTTTCATATACTTGTCATCTTTCCCCTCCCATAAAAGGTAAGTTTCTTGGGCCCTCCCTGGTGGGGTGGAGATAAAGTCACAGCACTATCACTGCTGTGACCTGGGTTCAATCCCCATCCAGGGAGCTAACCCTCTTATGGCACAGCAGACCTCTCCTGTCTCCCCACTGCTCCCATAGCAGTGTATTTCAGTACATTCACCTGTTCTGCTCCTCACTCTGTCTCTGGTGAATCCTCTTACCATGCCACACACCACTGGCCTAAAAAAATGAGGTAAGTTTATTGCATAAAGAACCATGTAGTAAACATTCAACAAATGTTGAACATATGGATATAGAAATCAACTTGCCTGTATACCTGTCCCTTCCACCTAGACAGTATATGTCATATATTGTTAAATGGTATGCTTAAAAAAGTTAGTTATGGCACTTACCCCTTCATTTAGATGCAAGTTCCTTAACAATTGGGTTAGAACTAAAAAAAAGAGCTTATTGTATATATTTAATAAATACAGGAATGCGAAGAATCTGGAACTATCGAGTTACATTTTGTTTTTCAGGTTGGACTAGCAGCATGCCAAATTGCTAGAGCTTATGGCTTAAAGGTTTTGGGCACAGCTGGCACTGAGGAAGGACAAAAGATTGTTTTGCAAAATGGAGCTCATGAAGTGTTTAATCACAGAGAAGTTAATTATATTGATAAAATTAAGGTGAAGTTATACAATTTTATTAAAGTAAAATTTCATTTTGTGAAAGAATTACATTTTTTTAAAATTACTATTTTTTATTTATTTATTTTAATTATTTTATCAATAATGGTTGGCTTTTTTGAATGCCTCTGTGTAATTTTTATGCCTATGTTTGTGCTAAAGGTTTATTTTTTTACACTTAAATATTTTTTTTCTTAAATACTCTTTTATATGTTCAAATAGACAATGTGGTTTTGTTAACTATGGTCCCCATGTTGTACATGATACCCATGATTTATTTATTTTATATTTGGGAGGTTGTGCTTTTTAACCCTTTTCTAACATTTAAACCTCATATCCTACCCCTATCACTTATCTCTGGCAACCACCAGTCTGATCTCTGTATTTAAGTTTTTGTTTTTTGGATTCCATGTATAAATTAGATTACATGATACTATGTCAGAGATGTCTCTCACTGACATTTCTTTAACATAATGTTTTATTGAAAGATTTTTCATTACTGACAAATATTCCTCTGTGTGTGTGTGTAACATTTTCTTTATCTAGTCATCCATTTGTGAACACTTCAGTTGCTTCCATGTCTTGGCTGTTATAAATCATGCTGCAGTGAATCTTGTGGTGCATATTTCTTTTTGAGTAATGTTATTTTTCTATTGATAAATGCCCCAAAGTGAAATTGCTAGATCAGATGGTAGTTTTATTTTTAATTTTTTGAGGAGACACCATACTGTTTTCCAAAGTGGCTGTACCAGTTTACATTCTCACCAACAATGCACATGGGTTCACTTTTCTCCACATCCTCCCAACATTTGTTACCTATTTTCTTTTTGATTAGTAGCCATTCTAATAGGTGTGAGGTGGTATTTCATTGTGCTTTTGATTAGTGATGTTGATCACTTTTTCATATAATCCTGAGCCATCTACATACCTTTTTAAAGAAATCTACTTAGATCCATTTTTTTTTTTTTTTAGTTGGATTGTTTGGGCGTTTGCTATTGAGTTGTCTGAGTTCTTTAGATATCTTGTTTACTGACCCCTTATCAGAATTATGCCTTGCAAATATTTTTGCCATTGTATAGGTTGCTTGATCATTTTGTTGGTTTATTTTGTTATGTGGAAGCTTTTTAGTTTGATGTTGTACCACGTATTAATTTTTCTGTCTTTGTTTTTGGTCAAATCTGAAACATCATTGCTAAGGCCAGTATCAAAGCACTTGCCACCTATGTTTTATATTAGCAATTTTATGGTTTTAGATTTCACACTAAAGTTTTTGGTTCATTTTGTGTTGGTTTTGTATAAGGTATAAGGTAATGGCCCAGTTTCATCCTTTTGTTTTTAACTGTTGAGCTCTACCTATCTCCTGTCTATCAATATTTTATCTACCTTTTTACTTTCTTAAAAAGATAGGTTTATTAGAAAAAGGAGAAAGCAAGAGAGAGGCACCTGCACAGTCACAGGCAGGCAGGGGAGCTGCTTTCTAGCAGCATTATATATGGCAGAGACTGTCCTTTCTCTTACATTCTCAGCGTCTTTCTTATAAATCAAGTCAACAAATACACATAGCCTCTTTAATCTAGGCCATTGACCTGTATGTCTGTTTTTATGCCAGTACCATACTGTTTTTGATCATTATAGCTCTCATGTAGTTTGAAGTTGGAAAGTATGTTGCCTCAACTTTATTTTTTAAGATAGCTTTGGCTGTTTGGGGGGGCTTTTATTAATTTAAAAAGGCAGAAATAGCTAATCTTCAAAACTTCATTATTTGTCTTATTTATACATATAGAATAAGAATTAGCCTCTCCAGAGTCTTACTGCTATAAAATTGGTATTCTTTAATGTAAATTGCTTTTTTTTGTAAAGATTTGTATTTGTGAGGTGTTCTTAATACAATTTTTGTTGGTGGGAATTCTCCATGGAAGATGAGGCTTCCATAGATTATAATCAGGATCTTTTAAGCCCAGGAATTAAAAGTTGTTAACTGGATACTTTGGAGGAATAATCTCTACCTTATCCTGCTGTGAAATAGCATTTATAGTTAGTAGTCACTTATGTTCCATTGCCACAGCAGACTTGAGCAGATTCTGAAATGTCCTCTTTGAATGATAGTTGCAATTTTGTTGGTTTATTAAAAAGTGGTTATTTTGCTAATTCTCAAACTACTTGCTCATATTGAGAAAGAATTAGAATTTTCCAGGTACCAAATACTATGTAAACTAGGTCATTACAAACTGAAGAAAAACAGAAGTTATTATCACTAAATCATGTCAAAAAAACAAAGACACTCCTTTATCATATGTCTAGGAAACCTAGAATCAATTGAGTATTCCCTCCTCCACCATTATCCAAGAGTACTTACCAAGATGAAAACAGCTAGTTAAAGGAAATATTTTTGCCTTGCATTAATTGCTTTTAAGATCATGAAGTCTTGTAGTGTCCATGTCTTCTATTGGTTCCTTTTGCTTAAGTCTTATTCTCCAAAAACGTGCTTAACTTTTTAGCTCCCTCTTCTCTCATGGCTCCTTTACCACCAAATATCTTAAAAAAGTGGTGAGCATTTTTTCTTTACTTCCCATGCTTTCCATTGCAGTTTTGCTTCCACCCCATTTCACAGTGCTACTCAGTGGTCACTAGTGAGCTCCTAATTACCAGTGTGCTGCTCTTGTTTTATTTTTCAACAACAGTTGACCATGACTGCATCTCCTGGAAACTGGCTTTCTTCACATTTCACTACCTTTATTTTCAGTCTTCTTTTCTCTCCATATTACTTACAGGTTAGCACTCCTTAGGTTTTTTACCTTTAGTCTTCCATCTTCTCTGGTGCCAGGTCCTCAGCCCCATCCATCTCACATACTCCCTTGGCTTCTTTTAGCACACATGTGCTGTTGATTTCCAATGCTATTCTAGCCCAAGTTCCACTCCTCCCTACCATCAGCTGCTGGACAGCACTACTCAGTTGATTACTCAAGGCAGAAACCCAGAGTTCATTTTTTTTATTCCTATCTTTTAACTACCATGTTCCTTTCCACCTGAGGTTGGTTATTTCCTTCTGTCAGTTTCACCTCTGACATGCCTTTCAAATATTTTTTTCTCTGTTCTCTTCTTCTCTGTGGTGACTTAGTTTAGTTCTCATTGTTTCTTTTTCATAACTGGGTGAATGTCCTTTTCTATTCACTGCATCAAGAATCAATTTGCATCTCTTTTTAAAAAATAACTCTCCTACCCTGCTGGTGGGATTGCAAGCTGATATAACTCATGGAAAGCTGTTTGGAGGTTTCTCAAAAGGCTAAAAATAGAGATTCCATATGATCCAGCAATTCTACTCCTAGGTATTACCCATAGGACACAAAAACACCTATTCAAAAGGATACTTGAACTTCCATGTTGATTGCTGTTCTATTTACAATACAAAAGATGTAGAATCAATCCAAATGCCCAAAAACAGATGACTGGATTAAAAAAGATGTGGTACATCTACACAATGGAATATTACTCGGCAATCAAAAAGATAAACTCATGCCTTTTACAGCAACATGGATGGAGCTGGAAGGGGTCATGCTTAAGTGAAATAAGCCAGGGGAAAAAAAGGAAAAATACCCATGGTTTCGCTCATAGCAGGAATATAAGGGATCAGGGGAAAAAAGAGAGAGAGAGAAACAAATGTAATAGAGTATAAATGAACAACTATATACCAGAGACATTTTAAGGGGGTGAAAAGGGGAGTGGGGTCAGAATTGGGATAGAATGAGTGCACATTCATCATCACATGTGGTAATGGCACATGGGTGAATTGGTGGTGGGAAGCCCATGGGGATTACAACTGAGATAGAAAAAGGCACAAAATGAAGAATGATGTAAAAAAATTAAAAAAAAAAGGATTGATAAAAAAAATCTAGAAATGCTAAAACTAGAGCTCTATGAGAATAGGAATTTTTATGTCTCTTATTTCCTGCTTGGCTATCTTTGTGTAAAATGGTATCTGGTATTGCATGACTTAATGAAAAATTAATGTCCCCCTAAAGTCCAAATTCTTTAATATGGCATTTAATGTATTTTGCACAGTCTACTCCTTTACAATCTCTTCTTACTTCTTCCTCTTCCCTGCCTCTCACCTTTCTAAATGCATACTCCAGCTCTGCTGGGCTGTTTTTTAATCCTGACTTGTACTCTTAGTCCCTTACGTCTTTGCTTTTCTATTTCTTCCACACACATGACTCTACCTCATGTCTTACCTCTCCGTACTGTATTCCCTCCTTTCTTTTAGAACAAAACTGAATGCACACACACAAAAATCCTGCTGATGACGTTTGCTCTGTTTTTTAATAAAAATGGGAGGCCCCTTGTGGTTTTGAATTTTTGGTTTGTTGTTTCTCTGTAAAAAGACATTTTGAAGATAGGTAATTTTCAAATAAGTCAAATTGATTTAAGTTTCTGAAAATTCTAGATAAATTTTATTTCATTATAGCAATTTATTTAGTACAATCTATATCATTTTAGATGTTGTAATTTGTACCTTGGAATTACATCATCAATATATATCTCAGTCATTTTAAAATTTGCATTCACTTTAAAATGTAACATTTTATGTCATCTGAAATACTTCTGTAATATATGGGATGTGATAACTTTTACAGTGTGTTTACTTGTTTTCTTATTCTTCATTCTTTTATATCATATAGAAATCTGTTGGTGAAAGTGGAATCAATGTGATTATTGAAATGTTAGCTAATGTAAATCTTAGTAAGGATTTGAATCTTCTGTCATATGGAGGCCGAGTCATAGTAAGTGTTTCCCTTTTTCTTTTTAACCGCTTTGAAGTTGTACCATAATTTAACTCAATTTTGCAGTCATCCTTGACTGGAGACAAATTGTTCCCCACAATAGGTTGTTGGTAGCAGAGGTCCTATTGAAATAACACCACGGGACACCATGGCAAAGGAATCAAGCATAATTGGAGTCTCTCTCTATTCATCAACCAAGGTAGGTAAAAAGTGATTCTAACTTTGGTAACTAAACATGATACACTTTGCCTAGCCAGACAGACTGAACGTTTAAGTGGATGTTAAATTTAGTTTCCAAATTAAGGATTTGGAGTTTGCTGAATTAAGGATTCATTTCTAGATAACTAGGGCAGCAATATAATTTGTTTTCCAAGTTAGGATACTTTTGAGAGAGGAAGGAGATAGTAATTACTTTAATACAGTGTGTGTTTTGTAAACTGAGACCGTCTCAGACAAATTGAACTTATGGTTACCCTACAAAAAGCTACTGTTTTTATAGCTGTGGACAAGTTGAAAAAAGCCACATATATGTAAGAAACTTTTTATGTTGCAAGTCATAGATACCGTAGTTGATCAATGGTTCTGAAAACTAAGTGATAGGTTCTCTACAAAGTAAAATTAAAAACAAATTTTTTTTTTTTAGGAGGAATTTCGGCAGTGTGCTGCAGCTCTTCAAGCTGGAATCGAAATTGGTTGGTTGAGACCTGTGATAGGTTCTCAGTATCCATTGGAGAAGGTGGCCCAGGCTCATGAAAATATCATTTATGGCAGTGGGGCTACTGGAAAAATGATTCTTCTCTTACAATGATGAATTCTTCCATGTATTTTCTGTGTGAATAGAAGTTTCTAGTTTTAGTGCATAATTTGTGCTTATATTCATTTGATTCAGTGAATTTCTTATATTAAAAAAAGACTTACTTTTAGAAGTCATGAGCACTAAAGTACAATTTACTTTGTAGCTAGCAATGTTGTTGTTGTTTTTTATGCTACTGTAAATTAAGTAGTCATCATATTAGGAAATAGATGTTTGTGATGACATTGGGGTACATTCCAGAAATTTTGAACTGACGCTTGGTTATTGATTTCCTACCATTCACTAAAACATAGTAATTCAAAATAAGATTACTGATTTCCAAGCCTATTTCTCCTTAGAAAGGTTTCTCAGTCTCTGATTAGCCCACAACTGCAGATGTCCTGGAGATGTCCTGGACTAAAAGGACCCCTTTTCCAAAGTAATCTCATCTGGATCTAGAAGTTTCTCGGAAAAGCAACAATAAACATCTTCCAGAGAAATTTGTAAGTTTTTATTTCACAACATACTAGAACATTCACTGTATTAGCAGTGGATGACCAATGAATTAGGTGCTTTGTAAAGATACTTTTATATTTGGTATAATGTAGTAGTAGATACTAGGTGCTAGGTCTTTAAATAGTTACTTCTTGATTGATTAAATTTTCAAGCTAGACTTTAACTTACCTATTTTATGTCATCTGTGTGTGTGTGTGTGTGTGTGTGTTTATTTATTTATGCATACAGAACTGGGATACAGGCCAGAGGTGCGGGGGCAGTGAGAGACAGAATGGGGAACAGAACAGGCAGATTGATGAAGTACACTGCTTACGCGAGCAGTGGGCTAGACAGGAGAGGTCTGCTGTGCCATGTGTGTCACCTCCCTGGCTGGGGATTGAACTTGTGCGAAGCGGCTGTAGTCAGCTTTGCAGTGCTGTTCTTTAACGTACTATGCCCCCAGGGAGGGCCCATTATATCATATATTCTTATTTAAATTAATGAACAACCAGATTTTCTTCATTAAGGATGATCTGTTTCTGCTTCATAATTTGGTAATCTCTAGGAAATCTAGGCAACTAAAACTTTTTTTTTACCTGGCTTCTCTTTGTGTAGTACTTGCCTTACCTCATTTTTACCTAGTGCCTCCTGATTACTTCCTCATAGTGTTCTGTGCTGCAGCCCTTCATCTAAACTAAGTAGAAAGATGATTACTTAGAAATCTTGCCTTCAATATTATATCCAAGGAAGTGAGATTTGATTTTTAGGTTTGTTCTTGTTTTTCTTCAACACAGCCTCCTGTCTGTTTTACATTATATTGTGGTTCTGTTGAATGACAACTTTTAATTTGAACATGAAGTTTGACTTTAGTAATGAGAGGAAAGTGCTGCTAACTTGTATAATTGAGGGGTGTCATTGATTTTTGGCTGTATGTGTCATGAATGAAGTGTTTTGGCTGTTAGCACTTTTCAAGCTTATTCACTATTTCTTCTATAGGTCAGTTCATCCTGGAAAATAACATGTTTGAATAAATGTTAAAGTAATGTTATTAATCTAGGCCTACACTATCTGCATATCTTAAAATGGAGGGTTTCTTCCCATACAAAATAATAGAGGAATAATTATTCTATAATGGTCCTTTTTTAGTCTTTTTGCATATTTGCCTTATCTGTAGACTAAGTGAAAACACACTGATGACTTAACATTTCACAACCCATTGATACAGCTCACTTAATTTCAAAGGCAAACTAGCCAAGCATTGTGCATTAACTACTATATTTATGAGTGTGTAGCTTTGGATATGTTCTCTGCATAAATCTCTTTGTATATTTCAGTTCTGTTTTTAACCCAACTTCGAGCCAGCTAAATTCACTGCACTGTTTGGTGCCATCAGCTTGAGGTTTATTTCACCGGCACCAGGACCTGTCCCTATACAGTTAAGAGAATAATCTATAGAATAAACAAATATCAGTTCATGTCTCATTTCTCTGAATCTCTTGTTTGTTTGTTGAGCTTAGAATCATATAATGTGTTAGAGGTCAAGTGATCCAGGCATCCTAAGTCCAAGAAAGCCAGTGGCTTGCCAAAGGCCACATGACCAGTAGATTCAAACTTGGCTAACATTTTTGGGTAGGTTTTTTTTTATCGAAAACCTGAATTTTTATTTTTGACTTGCTGTCACTGGCTGCTGTAGAAGTTGTGCTGTGTACTTTCCAGCTTCATTTTACCTGAGACTCCTATTTCTTATCCTGTCAATCACGTTCAGATTGATGTCACTTATCAATTGAATTGGCAGTCTTTTATGAAGGGAATATCCTGTTATCCTTCAAAATATTTACTGGTTATTTAGAGTTTGAGAAAACCCTCTGATAGAATTCGAGGATACAGAGTTATATAAAACGTGGTCCACAGCCTGGGGTTGGCGGAACCAAGCGAAACATGTTAGAGTTATGTATGAACACATGTGCATACATACATGCACAGACAGCCACATGTGTATGTATAAGGAATCTCGTGCCATTTATATGGGCTGACAGGTTTACATCAATAGGACATTTCAGCAGGACTTTTTTTTTAACTGTCATGTTAAATAGAATTCATTTTCTAGGAAACCTCAGGTTTTGTCGTCAAGTCCTTTGACCAAATAACCTTGTTGCACTAGCGGGTAACTACCTAAAGTCAGTTGCTGACTTTTGTAAACACATAAAAACACCTGATAAGTTTATGTTGACACATAAAGCTGGCCATCACAAGGGCTAATAGGGAGAGACAGAGGAGGGGCACTTAGTTGTCTTGGAATTTCCAGTAGCACTTTCAATGTTTTTGATACATTTGTTAGCTGCCCTTATCCTTAGTAGCTTTGACCATAGAAGTACAGAATAACTTGGATGCTTTTGAAAGGGAAAAAAATTGAGTAGCATTTTATAATGCCCATAACTCAGCTTTATTGAGGCAAGAAATTCTATGCGTGCCAAGGGCCTAGCACAATTCACAGTATAAAGAACGTTTTTTTCTGCACAAGATAACTCCCAAGAGCAACAAAACCTATCAGGTCACTTTGACCTGGCTCTCTCAGCCTCCTCAATCACATCTCACAAGCAGGAAAACACCTCAGCTCACACTTTAATTCTCTTTTCAACACTACCATTTTTTAGTAGAGTAATTTTTTAAATGTCTTTTGAAAATTGTCATAAGACAATTTTACTAGTCCATAGGGTTTCAGGAATAGTTTATATTGTGGAAGCTTCCTTCATTCGTGGAATGAACCTAGGAAATGCTGTATCATAGAAATCTAAATTCTCTTTAATCTGTGTCAGTGATTGTTGGGTGTTTATAGGGACAGTCCACATATGTTCTGTCAGAATGAGTCTAAGTCCCAAACCCATTACATGTTAGAAATACTCATTAAGCCATTGTTACACAAGGCCAGAGATTAGCAGCCCCTGGTTTACCCTTAGTGTCACATAAAAATACCAACAAAGCCTTTACCAATGCTAGGAATTAGAGGTCATCCTGTGCTAAATCTATTGGAATTTTTACTCATTCAGTGTCATTTTGATTCATTGATTCAAATCAGCTGTAAAATAGATAGGAAAAAGTCTCAATTCAGTTACTACCAGTAAGTCAGGACACACAAGGTACATTATCTGGAAAATCAGGCCCTAAGTTGATGAGAAATCATCTGAGCTAGCAAGGTATAGGTGCACACTCTTCAGTGTCTCTTGTTTTTTACTATCTTCATTTTAGAGTGACACAAGCTATGCAACATCCATCATCTGACATATTCTGGGTGGATCGGGATAAGCTCTGAAAAATCAGACTGTCCACTGCTAACTTATGTTATGACCTCCCTTTTTTGTATAAACATAATATCAAAATATTCTGAGCAACATTCAGTTTACAACTGGATTGTCTTAGCCACACAGGCA